AGATCAATATTATAATGATCAACTATTTTACCAAATGGATAGAGGCGAAGGAGCTTGCAAGGACAATGGCAAATGTAATTTATCATTTTATCTAGACCAAAAACATTTGAAGACACAATATGCCTCATGTCATAATAACTGACAATGGACTTCAATTTTTTGACAAATCACTCAAAAGGTTTTGCCAAAATCAAAGTATTCACCTCAATTTTTCCACTGTGCATTATCCCAAAATGAATAGGAAAATCGAAGTGGAGAATAAAATTCTCAACCTATTATGAATGGAAGTCAAAACTGCCAAGGTAAAAAAACTTCATCATCATCCACTAGGCTGACCAGATTCTTATTAATCGCATGGGGCAGCTGCTAGTCAAGCACACTACATAACTAAATAGTTGTAGCCCTCGATAAGTGAGCAAAAGGAGAACTCAAATAAAAAATGGCAAAAAGATAATAAAAAAAGAATGAAACATATATTTCAGCTTATCAAAGAACTCAAATATGAAGCAAGAGGAAGTCATGAGAAGAACAACTAAGTATTATAATGCCAATTTAAGAGAAAGAAAGTTCATAGGAGAATTGATACTGAAGAAAGTCGACTCAGCAACTCGAAAATCTCTACTAGGCAAGCTGGGCGCAACTTGGTATGGAACATATAAAAAACAAGTAAAACCAAAATCACATCACCAACAAACACACTCAAGGGTTTAAGTTTCAGAGACAGTAGGAATGACCTAAAAATCTTCTTTGCCTAAAAATTATTTATTGTGTCTTCTTTTTTTTTTTTTTTGTCGCCTTTGTTGTAAGAAATCAACAATTCCCAATATAGAATTTTTTTTGTCGCCTTTGTTGTAAGAAATCAACAATTATAAGTCGAGCTCAACAATTCCCAATATAGAACAGCCAGGGGGTACTTATTTGAAAAAATTGAAGAGAATATGACATTTTATAACATCACAAACTACGAAAAAAGAAACAATAGACTCAAAGTGAGTAATCTGGACAACAATCCAAGACCAAAATTTTAAAACTTAGGAAGCGAAATATGGCTCTTTATGATAAATAAATAAAAATTTGTCCATTGAGTGAAGACTTGCTTAGCTAGCTTCTCAAATGGAATCTTAGCAAAACTTTTCACTAAGGAAAATAAGTCATTCCGAAGCGAGATAATAGGCCATGCATGCACGACAACATGTGCACACTTTCCAAATGACAATCAACTCCCAAATAAGAGTGGAGGAATATAAGTCACCTGAAGTGAGTTAACAAGATAAGCATGCACGATAACACATGCATAATGACCAAATAACATGGTTGACTCCCAAAAATCGATAGGAGATTGTGAGAATCTCTCCATCACAATATAGAACATTTTCATCAAACAATATTTTGTGGTTATTAATAATCATGTTCCTAGCTTAATGGGTCACACTTTCTTATAGGCTTGCTCAAATGATTTTCATGATTGTTAGTAGTCATGTTTCAAGTATGAGCCACTTTCAACAGCCAATAAATTTTAAAGGATGTCTAAATCCAACATTGTTCAGTGGATTAAATGATCGAAAGATAAGGAGAGGGGAAAAGAATAGATTAGATTATTGTGATCTATCAAGTGAATTACTATAAAGAACTTGATCATACCCCTAACAAAGTAGGATGGGCTAAGTCAAGGAGAAGTGCCCAGATTCAAGGAGAAAAAAAGAAATTTGCATTATTATTCGTAAGAATTCAATACCCAATTCTTGGCACTTGACCTCATTTATAAACATGAGGGTTAATGTTGCAAGATAGGTTAAGTTGATCCTACGAGAACATTATATGATTGAGTTTATTTTAAATATTAAAAACACATGTTTAGAGTTTTAATTGATTAAACTGTGTGCAAAAATTTTGAACATGAAAACAACATCAACTAAATTGGATGATCAAGATAATCACATAAAAAATTAAAAATAAAAAAAGAAAATAATGAATAATACAAAAAAAAGCTCGATTAAATTTTGGAAGATTTGCATACATACCAAACAATTCCTATATATTTACATATCTAACATCTAAACTTCAATTTTTACATAAATACCACCACAACTGTATGAAAAGGTGTCTTTAACCTTTAAGTTGAAAGGTGGTATTTTTTATGTGATGTATGATTTGGGTGGTTTAAATGTAAAATGTAAATTTGAAGTGTTAGATATGTAAATACATAAGAATTAGGAGGTATGCATTGACATGCCCATTAATTTTATAGAGCCCTTGGTCATTAGATTTATAATAGCAAAATGATGACTTAAGCTTAAGCTTTAAAAAATAAAAACCTATAAATTTAAATAAAATTAAAATTATTTTAAATTATTATATGCATCACAATTTTAAAAAATTTTGATCTCAATTCATTTTAAAATAGAGATATTTATATACATACCACAAAATTTTTAACTAGTTACAAAACTAATGCTTAACTTTTGGCATTTACTTATAAAACATATAAAATGTTTAACATCACAGCAAAATATCACAAATATTAACTTTTCTAATGAAATAAAACTTTCATTTTTATTTTATGATATGATTGTGCCTTTTAAATGCTATAGATGTACATATTAAAACATGTATATTAGATATGTAAATACATAAAAATCATGTGGTATGTAATTATCTATTACAAATATTAATAGGTTTGGACGACTTTAAACTTCTAATATATTTCCTCGATTTGCTTTACATAAATTTATTAGTAAAATTATTGGTTATCTAATTAAGGATAATGATCTTAATTAATATATCAATAAATTTCCTAATTAATTCTTATATTTATAAGTTTAAATGATTTCATAAACAGCATGCATAGCATTTAATTTACCAAAAAACAATAAGCAATAAATATTAACTAAAGTAATAAGTTAATATTTTTAGAATTTTATTTAACATACTTCAAGTTTTCATTTTGACTTAATATTTTTATGATAAATTGCTGCCATATATATGTTTATTTACAAATGATTTCAGATTTTTTAATTTTATTTAATATATTTTAAAAACAACAAAAATAGAAAAAAAATTTTGAGAACTTGATTTGAATTGGCTAAGTTTTGACTTAACTTTCGTTAAATTAGATTCACTGGATCTTTTAAGCGTGCTTTGAAGGATTAAAATAAATATTTTTTATTAAAATTCAATTTATTATTATTTTTTAAATATTAGTTGTTTCATAAAAGGTTGGCTAGCCATTGGACGTAAAATTGGAGCTTCAACTAGTTGTCGGAGCTTCTTTGACTAGCCATTTTATAGTCATTTGAAAAGCATTTAAGAGACATTGTTATATATTTTGGCTATATTTTGAGAGGCTATAAATTAAAAAAAAATTTTGTTGGTTAGAAGTTGAATGAAAAGTTTATAACACCTTCCACTTTCTCTATTTAAATTTTTTTTCAGAACTTTTTATTTTCTTAAGGAAAAAACTACGAGTTGATCTAAACCTCTCCAAAAGCTTGAACTCATACAAAGCCACATCGTTGAAGAGTATTTTTTAATTTATTCAAGTGATTGTCAATTCTATAAGATTGCACTTACAAAATTTTAAAATATTTGTATTAGATCAAATAGCAAGATCTAAAATTCTTCTTTTAACGTTTTCTTATGAGGTTTCTGAAATCTTTATAAACAAACTATAGTGTCGTCTGTAAAATTAATTTTTGATTACTTTTTGCACGTCAATTAAAAGCATAGATTATAAGGGCTTTTCCCACCCCCACAAAAATGAGAATCATGCATTAGTAAGATCTATATATGGTGGGATCCTAGATGATGAAAATTTAGGCAAGACATAGGCAATGTCCGAAGCTCATAAAAATTTGTGCAGTTGTCTCTTGCTAGTTTTTATTTACTCCCACAATTTTCTTAAATCTACTTTCTTAATAATTAAGATTTTTATTTTTATAAGTCTACAATTTAAAAAAAGCATCAACCATCCTCTTGGTTTTCTTATACTCCAACTTACACTGACCTAAAACATTCATAAGTAAAGTCGAACATTTTTTTTGGTAGATCATGCAAGAATCATGAACTCAAAAATATCTTTTATTAAGGACAAAAATCAAATATTAAGAATAAAAATCACTTGAGTATTACCAATCAAAGGCATGCCTTGAATTCCGCCTTAGCATAATTTCGAAGAAAAACACTTCGAGACATACGACTAGAGCTGTTTAGGCAAGGCGTACGACCACATAGGTAGAGGTGCGCCTCAAAGCTAGTCTTGCCTCAATTCCGCTGAGACGTGCCTCTCGCACTTAGTTTTATTTCCCCTTTATTAGATTGTTCATATACGAACCGAAGTTGCACTATCACAAGCAAGAGCTCCCCTTTCCCCGATCAAACTCCCCATGATCGTCGTCTACTACTTCTACCACTGATACCACCATCGTCGACGTTGTCGCTGCTTCTATTACATCAGCCGCCTGCTGCTCCTACCATAGATGCCTCCTGCACAGCTGCCTCCTGCTCCTACCACAGCCAATGTTGTCTACTGCCCCTGTTGTCGTCGCTGCCGCTAGTTGCTCCTGCTGCCACCACCATCGCCTACTGCTCAACCTTTTGATTATTTATTATGGCCTTATTTAAATCTATATATATTATTACGTTAGTTGATCAACATAAGAAAGAGACGCCTATTCTGCCAATCTCATCTTATGTCCTACTTTGATATTTTATAACTTTCAATTTATATTTTATGCTAGTTTGATGATTTGATGAGTACATTATATTTTTATTTCGTGCAAGTTGTTAAATGATATTTTGCAGCTAATACAATTTGTTATTTCATATAAACGTAATTTATCATTCTTACTCCTTTATTTTGACTTACCTAATTTTCAAAGTGTGAGACTTACATCGCAGATCGCGGTAAGACCCTTAACGATTGCACAGTTTTAAACATTGATAACAATTGCTCGGAGAATACCTTTATCCATTCGAAAATGACAAGCAAATGCAAATGTTACCTGTCATTACATATTCAGGAGCAGCATATCCATAAGTCCCCATCACTCGTGTGGACACATGGGTCTTATCCCCTTCTGGGCCATCTTTAGCAAGCCCAAAATCAGAAAGTTTGGCAACATAATCCTGCAAGAAAATGTGTTTAAGACAACGGAACCCGTAAAGGGAATGAAGTTTTTACAACTACAAAAAATTTGGGAGCATACCGCATCCAGTAGAATATTAGAAGTTTTAAAATCGCGATATATAACAGGCCTTTCTGCTTCCTCGTGAAGAAAAGTTAGCCCCTTAGCGGCACCAAGTGCAATTTTCATTCTTATGGACCATGGCAGAGGTAGAGATCCTGTGTAAGAGTATATTTTTAATGAAAGATAAAGGCAACATCACCAGAATAATAAAGGCACGGAGTTTTCCATTTGCACTAACTAAGCTGTAGATCAGCAACACAAAACAGATAATAATTATCCATCTCCAGTTGCCTATATATTGATAAAATATAGTATCCTAGGTCAACACACTTTCTCAAGGTGGTGGAAACATAAAAAGAACTTGACCATAGCTAAGACAACTCAAAACTCCTTTATTCTGTTTTAAGTCACTGTTTGGCTGACAGCTGGAACCTTTTTTTTTTCCTTTAAGAAGGATACAAGGAAAGGAGGGGATGGTAGGGGATTGGTTTACAGAAGTCAATTGTATGGCATAGTCATTAATGAAAAACAATGGGGTGGATATCAAAAAAGTAAAGCATTTATTATTGAAAACGCAAATAAATTTAACTTTAAAGAATTAAGGCATCGATATCATTCCAAAAATTACCTTCAATAATTAGGAAACAATACCACTACAAATGTTCATCACTTGTAAGTGTCAGAACAGTGTTTTTAAACAGATTAAAAGTAAATGCAGAGAAACAGATTGGGATGGTAAACCTGATACTTGACCTTAAACCAATAAGAAATTGGTTTAGAGTAGGTCATGGGTAAGAAACCTTACAACTAACACCTTCTAGGTACGGAGACCCACAAAGAGAACCGTAGAACAACAAATGTAAGTTTTATCACTTCTGGCAAACGTGGTGAAGCCATGTCATGATGACCAACTCCTTTATAAATATCTGTAGGATAATTTTAGACTAATGATTATGAAGGGATGCAATGGGCTCAATACAACTGATACAAAGCCTACTAGACTTCAGCAGGATTCTTGAAAGTATGCATTTTGCATTACTATATCAAAAGTTACAAAATGTGTACAAAACTATGGCTTTAGGCTTTAACAGAGTGAGATCTATCCTCCTTAAGAAGGAAAAAAAGAGCAAGTGTTTCAATTACATGGTTAAAAAAACTTCATTTATGTCCAGCTAACCAAAAAAATGAGCAGTCCTATTAAGTTCCTAGATATGTAGCGAAATAAAACCTGTGAACTGTGAGAATAGCAATGCCAGTGCCAAACTTTGGCTGGAATTTCCTCCTCTGTATAAGGTTGCAATTGGTAGGGCTCGTAAAACAAATTTGGTGCGGTCTAAGTGGCCAAACTTTTATTGAAATAAAGAATATTACATTAAACAGCTACGAAGCCCAGATTTAGATAAATAAAACTAAATATAAGAACATTGTGAATTTTCTTAAAGAAAGCAGTATCTGCCCATAGCAGTCTCATTGAAAATATCACTTGGAAGGATAACTGGTGATTATACAAAAAAATCGCTTATTAACATGTAAATTAAGCACTTATTACACTTGAAAACATAAAACAACTATTAAAAGGTAAACTAAATACTGATTACACTGGATAACATAAAACACTAGCAGGTAAATAATTACTGATAACACTGGGTAACAGCAAACACTATCAACAGGTAAATTAATTATGAATTACAAATGTTAAAACAAACTTACGTAATGCAATATGACAATATGACGAATAAAACCTTAACCATTCCATAAGAGATTCTGAAATTTCAGTCCATTGGGCATTCACAATGCATTTTGTGGCTTAACACAATTGAAATTAAAAGCTTTTTCCTTCCTTGTTATAATGCCTAAAAAAAATTTAATACCCTGAAGCAAGGAAAATACTAACTCTAATAAGAATAAACGAATTGGGATTTGTCACTTAAATTTCTTTTTAAAAATAATCCTCATAGGAGCAGATGATATAATATAAATTTAATATTAATCAAATAGCTTCTAAACACTATAAAAAAGAATGTTTAACAGAAGTCTAGACATTATCATAAGAAAAACATAAATTTACAACAAAGAAAATTTTCTCTTTGTTGAATCAAAATCAGTCAAAGGATGTCAGAATGCTACCAACAAAGCTTATAAGGTGTCAGAGAATAATAAAAAGAGTAATATTTATAGAGGAGAAACAAAGAACTTTTTAATGAAAAAAACTCTGATTATTTATAGCTCTAACCACCCACAAATGACCTCATTAAAAATTTGTCATTTGACCATTTATAAAATATAAAACATAGGGCTTAGGCATTATACATGGAAAGCTACACATTGACTTTATAAAATATAGATAAAACATACATGATGCGAGACCTATATACATGTGGGAAAATTCATGGATCCACACGACAATTATCAAGGCTTGTTGTAGGCGAAAATCATTTCCATACTGGTGAAGTCCCCAATTCTCGAGTTGAATGCACCGACTTCCTAACAAACTTGTCGACATCAGTCTCAAGTACTCCATTGTGAGATGAGTCATTTAGCTCAAATGAATGGGCTCTTTGATTCAATTGAGTAAAAGATGAAATGGGCCCTAGTATCTATGTGAGCTTCTTGTGAGTCGCAAGGTCTCGTGATTGGGCAATTAGGCCCTAACGAGGTACTTTTGATTATATGAATATAATGGACTTAGCTAGTTCATTGTCTTTCTCTCTTCTATTTTTCCAAACTACTATAAACTTAGCCTGACCCTAGCTAAATTAGATCCTTTGAATATTTGGATGTAAATTTAATTTAGTGATTATCGTGTCTTTAAATTTATCACAAGGAGTGAATGACAAAAAATATTTATTCTCGCAAAATCAAATATTTTACCTCTCACGCCTTTAGAAAGGATTGTATCTTCCCGAAAAACTAATTTTCCTAAGGTTTTTAAACAATAAAAATAAAAAGTTCACAAATTATTTATCTTGAGGGTTGAAGCCTCTACATTGGTGGCCGAGTGCATTAGGTAGTCAACAATCACCATAAAGCTTGTAAAAAAATTATGGCATTAATCCTTTAAATCTTTGTGTAAATAATAGAGCATCCCCTAGAAGAGGCGAGTTGTATGATCTTTGTGTAAATAATAGAGCATCCCCTAGAAGAGACGAGTTGTATGGCCTGAATACAGTGAAAATTGGGCAAGGGCCGCTATACCAATGTCTGGGTGTAGTGTCAAATAAGTAAATGTTTTCACATTACAGGCAGAAGCAAGTAAAGAAGTTAGTCCATTAAACTAATATTAGGATAGGATCTTCAAATAAAAGTACTCTCACAGGTAAATTAATAGAATTAATTTATATTATAGTTTATATGAAGATAAATATCTTATGTGTTTAAAAAACTAAACGGGTTAGAAAAAAGGCTAAAGAGATTGATAGATTAAGATTTAAAATTTGATATTCAGGTAGGAGTCTCATTAGGTGTAATTATAGATAAGAGTTTAAAAGATAATACTATAAATTTAATACAATTGAATATCGAATTATAACTTTAAAAATTGTTGTTGATACTAAGATTATTAATATTATAAGTGATTATGCTCCTCAAGTAGGTTTAGTTATAGGTTCAAAAGAAAATTTTTGGAATGACTTTGGAGAAAAAATACAGATGATACCTCTTAAAAAAAGAATTTTTATTGAAGGAGATTTAAATAAACATGTTGGTACAGTGGTAAAAGATTTTAAAAATATTCATGGTGGTTGATGTTTTGGAGTTTAGCAAATTATTTGTTATTGCTAATACTTTATTTAGAAAAAGAGATGAACATATTATTACTTATTAGAAATGATCAATAAATACAAATTAATTATTTCCTTATGAGAAAAAGAGATCTTCGAGAGTGTAAAGATTGTAAAGTAATTCAAAGTGAAAATTTATGTATTTAATATCAATTAATAATTCTGAATTTTAAGATGGAAAGCTGTAAGATATCAAATACAAGAAAATAATCAACAGAATTAGGTGCGGCAATTAAAAGAGAAATAAAATTAGTTTTATGAGCAAACTTCAATTATGAGCAAACTTCAAAATTTTAAGATTTGAGATGTTCATGAAGAAGTAAATTCTATGTGGGATAAAGTTACAAGCACTATTAAACAAGTGGCAGAAGATGTGCTTAAAGAATCAAAAGAAACAAAAATTTATAAATAAAAATAATTGGTAGTGGAATAGTGCTGTGCTAAGAGAGAGTTCTTTATATTGAAAATGTTGAAAGATCCAACTAAGTGGAAGACATGTCATTTTACTTTTTCTCAATGAAAAAGTTAGAAGATCAAACTAAGAGAAAGTTCTTTATATTGATGATATTCAAGCACAGGGTTAACTATTTATTTTACTTTTATGAGAATCAAGATGCAAGAATATTATCGTATTTTTGGACTTTCATATGTTTGACTGATATTGGTGTAAGACATTATTTTTTATGTACCGTGTCTTTCTCTATGTTATTCATTATTGTTATTCAAAAAGAAGACAAATAAAATCAAATAACATTGAATTAGCAAATAATATATTAATAAAAAAACATTGACAGCTCATATATTGCACGCACTCCTTGCATGATATCCACATACATAGGCAACTAATGGGTTTGAGAGGTACTTGTGGGTCACCCAACAAGATTTAACATGCTTCGTATGACACACACTATATTTATTGATCTATTTTAAAAAGTGTACAAAATTCATAAACTCTGTGACTCCTCTAGAATGACTTTAAGAGAGATGATCACCATAACTCTATATTTTATCGCAAAAATGAGTCCACAGAAGGGGGATGGAGCGATTCTAACACTCACCAGAAATAATTTGTAGATATTTTTCAATTGGTTCAAATGCTCTGATCAGTTTATCTTGAGAAGTTATCAAACTTAAAAGACCCTACATTCCAAAACACCCCTATTGAAATTTCACGATATCAACACTATATGTCATATATTTAAGGTAGATTTTTGTGTTCATCTTTCTTAAAATTTACTTAAAAGCAGTAACTTTAATATTTCATATAAATGACTTAGGATTGTATTGAAGCAATTGATGGAACACATGTGGATGCACGTGTGTTCAACAGTAAAAAGAATGCATAAAGTGGACGTTGTGGTTCACCAACATAAAAT